GGCTCTGTTTGAGATCTGGGCCTATTGTGGCCCATTACCAGTTTCTGAACCTCACAGATGTTAACCTCATAAGAGCTACTTTTCAACAGGAACTGCATACTGTCCCTGATCAGGCTTCAAATGTGTTTAAAAACAACAAAAGTCCGATGTCTACAAGGATTTTGAATTTGAGAATAAAAACAAAACCAAACAATGCCCATAGACGTCTGTTGCTGGGTGGGTATGGTCTTCTTGATGTAGACACACCCTTCACATTTACAGCATTCAGCAGACACTTGTATCCAGAGCAACTGCCATTTTCAATTCTCAGGGAGCCAATGCTAGTATAGGTGGGACTCAAACCCACAACTTCTTGGTTCCCAGTTGAACAAAAAGTAAATACCAGTATTGAGATGCATCAAAAATCATTGTGCAGTTCAATTGTTGACAGACCAATTGAATTAAAACAACAAACCACCCTTCCTTATAGATTCCATTACAATCATTTTATTGGTCCTATTACAATTTATTTGATGCAGTGAGCAACTACGGAAGAACAATGTTAACTGCCTGTTGGCCCAAAAATAATGCAGGTAGTACTGCACTGTAAACCCGAGTAAGTTCAGAGTACTCAAAACTTTTGTCGTAACCGATTACCTAAGAAAATTCAAGTACTATATCAAGGTTTTAGCAATAAAAAAAAAAGTGCAGGAAATCTGTAATCTCCTATAAAAGTCTGTCGGTTTTATATCACATCTATAACATTAATAAAATGCTATGTATTTTTCACATGTAAATTAATATATGAATGCTGAGATTTTGTATATGTTCTACCCAAGAGGTTACAGGAAAAGGTATGTTAATTGACTCATTGATACTAAGCTTGTCCATGCTCTGAGGTATTTTGTTTGTCAGTATGAGCCTAAATGCCACAACAATGCGATTGCCCTACACTGGTATGATATGCACCTCCTTTATAAGGCATATCCACCTTATTATTATTATTATTAGACTTCAGAACTCCTCCCACTCTCACAGTAATGCACATGGTGCTGAGTTTGAATCCAGCCGCAGGTTTTGCGTGAGGAGTTTGCATGTTCTCCCTGTGTTTGCACAGGTTTGCCTCTGCAGTTCAGAAACATCTGACATCTTTAAAAGGGTGTGAGGATGTGTCCTTCATTTCCAGGTGTAATATAGGCCTTTGGCAAATAGGTTATCAGTATTGAATTAATATGGAACAGGAACGAATAGAATTATTTCAAATCTGCACTTAATTTTCCGCCTCAGGTCAGGGATCCCCAACTATTTTCTTTGAGGGGCAAATTACATTAAAAGTGCAAAGCCAGGTTTCACAAAGCTGATAGTCTTGGGG